CCTGATGTCACTTCTCAAAGCTGCTGTTCCAGAAACATCACCTTAAAGGATGGGGTCCCCGAACGTACAGGACTCCTCGATGGCAAGGTTGTAACTGGCCCCTGTCCCGTTCTTGTAGGTGCTGGTCACAATCCTCATCCAGCCTCTCTCGCCCTGGGGGAGAATGGAACCCAGGCATGAGCTCATCATAGCCCTGGCCTCCCTTGTTCCCAGCCTGCAGACCCGGCGCTGGGCCTCCAGCCCTCGGCCCCAGCCTGGGAGGATTCAGCCTGCTCAGCCCTCACCCTCCCCATGGCCCCTAATCAGAACTGTCTCCTGTGAACTCTTTCACTTGGCTAATGTTTAACGAGGGCTCTTGATGCCAAAAGCTAGTTCATGTCACAAAACATGTTGACTCTTTAGTGACTTAACTACCTATTAATACTCTCATTTGTAGTCATTTCATAAAAAGCCATCATTTTGTCAATTCCACGCCAACTACTTTCCCTTACTTTATAATAATGAATTGTCTTAAGCTATTAATGATTAAGTATTAACACGAAAGCAGTTAATTCAGCTACACTGGATTTTTGACCCAACTCTAAAGTATTTCTGGAAGGCCTGAGTGTGGCCCGGCAGAGGCCAGTACCATGACCAGGAGAGTGAGAGGGGGTAAAGGACAAAGGTGGCCCGAGGCCAGCCCTGCAGTGGGCCGCGCGGGCGGGGATGCTTGTCACGGTAGCACACGGGCCGCACATGGCACTGTCAGGGCCGGGACCGGGCTGGGGTGAAAGCAACAAAACCTAAGGCCACATCTCTCCGAGGGCAGCACGGCCAGCGAGGCACATCGGCGTCTCACCCACGGCTCTCCCCAGGAATTCCGGACGATCCAGTACTCCGTGCCCTCGCTGACGCCCCAGCCGGCCACGGACACGATGTGGTTGATGTAGGCCTGGTCGTAGTACTCGGCGTAGATGCCGCCCCCGTACCGCTCCATCTTCTCGGTCGCCATGATCCCGCAGCTGCGGGCAAGCGTTGGGGGTTCCCACTGCAGGCCGGGCACTCGGGCCGCCAGCACTGGGGAGAAGGCTCTGGGAACTGCGCCCCCCCCCCGGGCCTGCCCCAGGCTCACCGCACACCTCAGGGTGATCAGCAGCAGCCCAGGTTGGGTGGTAGCTTTCACTTCTGAGAACACTGGGTTCTTAGAGGTGAACTACGCGGCCGCTAGCTGGCCAGGGGGAAAGTGCCAAGTGACGTCACAGCTCCCACCTGCACGTGCACACCTGGTGCACTCCTGGGGACCTCCTCTCCTGGGGGGCCTCGCCTCACCTGAAGGGACCCCACTTCACCTGGGAGACCGCCACTCTCCTGGGGGACCTCGCCTCACTGGGGGACCTCCACTCACCTGATGGACCTCGCCTCACCTGAAGGGACCTCGCCTCACCTGAGGACCTCCACTCACCTGATGGGACCATTTGCATAGATTTCTGCCATCATCTTCTCCCTCCCGGAGAGGGAGCCATAGTCGCCCACTTTCCACAGGGTGTAGTTCTGCACGGCGTGGCAGTCTTTGGACTCGGTGCACGTCCCACACTGGTTGAACTTGTCACACTCTAGGGTGAGCGAGAAGTCAGCAGGCCTGGCTCCTCCAGCCCTCCAGCAGGGGAGCCACTGCCTCAGTGGCGGCCTGCTCTCAGCCCACGTCCAGTAGCTATACCTGGGTCTTTCTCCCTGCAAGCAGGGGCTGCTTAATTATCTCTTTCAGCCGAAAAGGAGCTATGAAAAGCCCTCCCCTAGGCTTTGACAGAAAAGAAAGTGGACGTTAGTAGCACATAGTAGGCTCTCAAAGGTTAGCCTTGTCTGTTTTTCTTGTTTTTTTTTTTTTTTTTTATTTTTTTGAGAGGTTTTTGCTATAGGGCGCATGCGCTCGCCAGACAGACAGAGAGACAGAAAGTGAGAAATCACCCCCCCAGGGGGGATGGTCACGCCGCAATCCCTTCTCCTCCATTCTCCTCTCGGGATCTTGGGCACGCACGCACACGCACCCGGCATGAGTTTTAAGCCACCGGATCTGGGACACGAACCGCGGTCGACTACGTGGGAGTCCAGCGACATAGCCATTACGCTAACTGCTGGCCCCCGTCTGTTTTTCTTAAGCGGCTAAAGAAGGGCCTTTTCACAACATTTTATAGCTGAAGATTGGGTAAAATCAAACTGTTAGCACTTAGATGATTCTACTGCTAAGAACACTAGGTTCTTAGAGGTGAACTACGCGGCAGCTGTGTCTAAAGCCCCGCGAGTACAGCTGGCCAGGGGAAAAGGTGCCAAGTGACGTCACAGCTCCCACCTGCACATGCACGCCTGGTGCACTCCTGGGGACCTCCTCTCCTAGGGGGACTCGCCTCACCTGAAGGGACCCCACTTCACCTGGGAGACCGCCACTCTCCTGGGGTAAAAAAGGGGGCGTTTTCTTCTTATTTTGGTTAGAAAGGTGTTAAAGAAGAAAAAGAAAGAAAGAAAAGGAAGAAAGGAAGACAGCAAGCCCTGGCTCTCAGCTCTGCGAGACCACACAGCACCCTTCCCAGCCCAGGCCCTCCCACCCCTCTTCTCCTGCCCGGTCTGGCCGGCCCCGGCCGGAACTGGTCCTTTCCTGCTTTGGAGTTACCTACTTCTGCTATGGTCACATGACTGTCCAGTTTCCTCCTCCAGGACAGTAAACTTGAGGACTGGACTGTTGGCTTCATTTGTCCCTTGGACACCGAACGTCAGTGCCCAGGCCACACTGCTAACCCAAAGACCTGACTTTGCTGCAGACTATCAGTTTCTAGCGTGCCATTGCCTGTCAGGCGAGGAGGGGTTGCGGGGGCCTGGACTCGGCAGACCACACCAGTTTGGGGTGAAGGCGGCTGGGTGTAGCCCCAGGGACCACCCTTGTTCCTCCTGCTGCTCTGTCCCCTTGGGTCTTTGCCAGCCGCTGGGCTATACCGCAGCTGCTGGGCTACACCATGGCTGCTTGGTTACACCGCGGCTGCTAGGCTGCAGTGCGGCTGCTGGGCTGCAGTGCAGGCTAGGGTCTGCTGGTTCACACAGTCCCTGGCAGGATCGGCTGACCGGGCAGGATCAGCTGACCGGGCAGGGCCAGGCGCTGGCTTCCCGCCGGGGCCGCCATCTCCCACCCGCCCCCCCCCGGCAAGCGTTGGGGGTTCCCACTGCAGGCCGGGCACTCGGGCCGCCAGCACTGGGGAGAAGGCTCTGGGAACTGCGCCCCCCCCCCGGGCCTGCCCCAGGCTCACCGCACACCTCAGGGTGATCAGCAGCAGCCCAGGTTGGGTGGTAGCTTTCACTTCTGAGAACACTGGGTTCTTAGAGGTGAACTACGCGGCCGCTAGCTGGCCAGGGGGAAAGTGCCAAGTGACGTCACAGCTCCCACCTGCACATGCACGCCTGGTGCACTCCTGGGGACCTCCTCTCCTAGGGGGACTCGCCTCACCTGAAGGGACCCCACTTCACCTGGGAGACCGCCACTCTCCTGGGGTAAAAAAGGGGGCGTTTTCTTCTTATTTTGGTTAGAAAGGTGTTAAAGAAGAAAAAGAAAGAAAGAAAAGGAAGAAAGGAAGACAGCAAGCCCTGGCTCTCAGCTCTGCGAGACCACACAGCACCCTTCCCAGCCCAGGCCCTCCCACCCCTCTTCTCCTGCCCGGTCTGGCCGGCCCCGGCCGGAACTGGTCCTTTCCTGCTTTGGAGTTACCTACTTCTGCTATGGTCACATGACTGTCCAGTTTCCTCCTCCAGGACAGTAAACTTGAGGACTGGACTGTTGGCTTCATTTGTCCCTTGGACACCGAACGTCAGTGCCCAGGCCACACTGCTAACCCAAAGACCTGACTTTGCTGCAGACTATCAGTTTCTAGCGTGCCATTGCCTGTCAGGCGAGGAGGGGTTGCGGGGGCCTGGACTCGGCAGACCACACCAGTTTGGGGTGAAGGCGGCTGGGTGTAGCCCCAGGGACCACCCTTGTTCCTCCTGCTGCTCTGTCCCCTTGGGTCTTTGCCAGCCGCTGGGCTATACCGCAGCTGCTGGGCTACACCATGGCTGCTTGGTTACACCGCGGCTGCTAGGCTGCAGTGCGGCTGCTGGGCTGCAGTGCAGGCTGGGCTCTGCTGGTTCACACAGTCCCTGGCAGGATCGGCTGACCGGGCAGGATCAGCTGACCGGGCAGGGCCAGGCGCTGGCTTCCAGCCGGGCCAGCAATCTCCCACCGGCCCTCTCCACGAGCTCCTCTTCCCCGCACGGGCCATAAGCCCACCAAATGCCAGCAGGACAGAGCCCAGAGCTGTCCAGGTGGCCACAGGGCACAGCAAGGCTGGGTCAGCTGGTTCAGGCCCACCCCTTGGAGGAAGAGTGGGGTCACCGTGGGGTGCTGGCGGCCTACCTTGGTCCCTGGCCTGGTAGTTGTTGCAGGTCTCATCGGGGATGCCGTGCCGGTGGGCGTACTCCCACACCGGCAGGTCGTTGCCGCCCTCACAGGAGCCGGCGTCACCGCAGTCCAGGACGTGCTGCACCGACAGCAGGGTGGAAGGCCACGCACCCTTCCTCTTGATGTTGATCCGGTCTGCAAAGGTGGGCGGCTCAGGCTGCGGACCACACAGCGCCCTGCCTCCTGCTCTGGCTGCCCGAGACACTGTCTGGAGGGCCTCTTCCAAGTGGGCCTCTTCTTGGGGCCTGTGTGTCCCCCTGCCCTATCCGACTGCGAGGGCCATGAAGGCAGGGCCAGGTCTGTCCTGTGAACTCATACGGCCTGTAGACAACCCCGAGTGCCTGCGGGATGATGGCAGGGCGGGCCGGCACCAGGATGGCCAGGACAGCGTCCTGCCCACAGGCCCTGTGTGGACCGGTGCACAGAGGGTGGCACCCCCATGCACTCGTGCAGCCCAGAGAGGGCCCAGCCACAGTCCACGGAACTGGGGAGGGTGGGCAGAGGCTCCCAGCAGCCAGCCGGGGCCAGGTGCCCTCACTGCGCCTGGGCTTGGGCAGCCAGGAGTGGCCACAACCTCCACCGCGGGCTGACCTGCTCTCTCCCCACGCCCACACCGTCAATGGAGCTCTAGCAGGGGCCTGGCCTGCTGGACATCCCACTCCATTCAGGGTCCTCCCACGGTACATCTCCCAGGAAAGGACTTCATGACCACGGCTGCCACGTACCACAGGCCTCCCCCCGCTCCAGCTCCAGGTCAGAATGCTCACAGCGGCCTCGCTGCTTCTGAGGGCAGGGCCCTCCGCTGTCCCTCCTGTCTCGCCCACCCTGCCCCATGCTCACCGCCCAGCACAGCGCCTCTGACTCACCACCTCGTTACCATCTGATGGCCTCACTGCACCCCCTGCTGAATCGCAGGCTTTGGGGATTTTGCTGACATCAGGGCTTGGCAGTTTCAGTTCTGGCCTCAGCGCCCACACCCACCCAACTTCCGCATCCAGGCAGGGGTGCCAGCATGCTTTCCCACATGGCCAGATGTGTGTGTCACCATGCGGCCAGGCACAGCTGGTCACGTCCACCCTCCGTCTTCCCTGGTTGCTGACCGTGTGCCAGGCACTGAGCCGTGCCTTGGGACATGCAGGGCAGACGAGCCCCCACCCCCAGAGCTCCGGGGCTCAGGACACGAAAGGGGGTCACGATAGGGTGGGTTGAGGAGGACCCTGCAGAGGTGGCTTCATAGGAGAGGGGAGGGCGCAGAGAGACCTGCAGAGGACCGAGCCTCGCCTTGGGGAGCACGAGGTGCCAGGAGCTGGTTTGACCTGTGGGTCGTGGAAGGCTCTGTGAGATCACAAGGCTCCAAGCCTAAGGGCGTGATGTGACCTGGGTTCGACGGGCCACTCCAGCAGTGGGAGGCCAGTCAGGGGCAGGTAGGGTGCCTGGCAGGAAGGCCCTGTGAGCGGTAGCGGCACTCGGGGCTGGTGGGAGTGGCAAGACATCAATGAGCCCCGCTTCCATGCCAAAGGAGGAGCCAACGCGATTCAGCAGTGGCCACACGCGCCAGGTGGACCCTGAGTTTCCGTCTGAGCACCGGGAGGGAGGACCACACGGGAAATGGGCCGTTGAGGAGCAGAGGTGGGAAAGATGGAAGTTCAGGTCTGCTGGTTGGGGGTCTTGGGCATCCAAGCGAGGGGGCATGCATTGGGATGAAGGCCCAGAGCAGGGCGGTGAGGGGGAAGCAGCAGAGGCAGGAGGTGAGGGGAGCATTTCAGGGAGAAGTGATTCAGCAGGGTCACGAGGAGGAGGCTGTGGCCTGCCCTCTACTTGCCACTCAGGGCCCCTGGCCACGGGGAGTGTCTGGGGAGAGCCAGCTGGCATGGGCTCAAGGATGGAGAAGTGGAAGTGCAGGAAGGGGCGAGACAAAGGGGCTTCTCGCTCGTGTGCTGGAGGCAGGGGCGTCCCTCAGTGGGCGGAGGACAGTCCTCTGTGCCCAGGAGTGAAGCTTCAGGACCCAGGAGGGCAAGCTACAGCGCCGCTGCCATTAGTGGCTGGGGGGGGGGGGGGGGGGGG